AAGATTTCACAATTTGATGAACTTTATATATATTGAATATTTATGTTAATATTTATATGTTAATATTTATATAATATTGACTATTATACATATAATTTACCATATCGAATATATACACACAGAAACTTAAAAATTTGGGTTCTTATTTATCCATATGGGTAGTTCAATCCCACAGTACTAAAATGAGTTGTTAAAACATTCATTACTCTGAAATATTTTACTAATCTGTCTCTTCTGTTTCTCCTTTTCAATAACAGCTGACTTTTTGTGAAATTTTTGTCAGTGCCACATACAGAAAAAGAATGTTCAGTTATTTTCTTCTTTTCTGTGTTTTGTGCATACTTCTTGCTGTCCGTGTGGATACATTATTCTTACTGAAAATTAAATAAAATCTGACTTATACAATCTGTTCTTCTAAAAATTAAATCAGACAAATAAAAAGTTATTGTTTTCAAGGAGATTTGCATAAAAATAGAAAGATGAATTAGAATTTCCATCTATCAAAAAAGAGAGTGGCATTTTCCCTGCTCAGGTACAACATGTGCTGTTATTTGTTGAGTGAAATTTGCAGTTATTTGTGGTTCACAATGAAAAGTCTGCATTTTCGGGCGCCTGGGTGGCTCAGTGGGTTAAAGCCTCTGCCTTCGGCTCAGGTCATGATCCCAAGGTCCTGGGATTGAGTCCCGCATCGGGCTCTCTGATCAGCAGGGAGCCTGCTTCCCTCTCTCCATTCTCTCTCTCTGCCTGCCTCTCTGTCTACTTGTGATCTCTGTCAAATAAATAAATAAAATCTTTAAAAAAAAAAAAAAGAAAAGTCTGCATTTTCTTAAATTTCAAATTAAAAGACTATTTTCCTTCATATGGCATTAAAATTTATGATTAATATTTTGTAAGGAAATGCAGATTACTATGAAATACTTTAGAGACTGTGTCCTTCTAAATTGTGTATCATAAGGTTATGGAGTTAAAACATAGGCCTAGAAATATAATTCCTCCTACTATATTTTTTGCTCTTTGCCTTATGTGTTTAACACGTCCTAATTTATTATCAAACTTGCCTTTCCATAATTACACAGGATTTTAATTTCAAGTATAGTCATAACTTTCCGTTATGGTAGAATTATATATTTGGTTTTGTCACTCACCACAGAAAACAGTGACAACTCTTATGTTCTGGGGGTCCAAAATGCTAAATGTTCCTCCATTTGGGCCAACTTTTGTGGTTATTCATGATGGGGCAATTGTAAAACAATGCAGAAATCCTAAAATTTATGTTCCAAAAATTCTAGACTAATCACCTTCTTCCTTTTCAAATTCTTCCTTTTTCCGCCCACTTACATTGATAGAAATTTCTACATCATACATATTGCACATGTGTATCTATGCAGAGCTATGAAGACCACACCTAATTTGTTCAATTTGCTCTAATTTTAATGCAAACTACTGCTTAATCCCCACTCTCCATTCTCTGCTCTGCATTTCATCTCTGGGGAATGTTTTGCATCCCTAAAGGAACATTCAGCATTATCATCAGTTAGTTTTAATTACCTTCACATACTTGAATGGTGGTAAGCTGGATGTTAAAAGAAATAATTTAAATAGATATGGTCTTTGCCTTCTAGCCACTTTAATATTAAAATATGATAAAATGAGTTGCTATTTTTAATTGGATAGCAAGTGTAATATTTTTCATGTAAAACTTTCTAAAAAATGAGGCAATTGCCCTCTTCCATGAAGTTCGCTTAATAATACACACTGAGATATAGTGAACAGCAAAAAATACCCAGGAAGTATATGTATAATAGCTTCATTTTAGACTCCCAAGAAAGTAACAATGACTTTGGCGGCTAACAATTGGCATCTGACAGCTAAGCTGAAATATTCTCAAAAACATAAATGATTCTCTAGAATCTACACAATAATCAGCTGGAGCTGCCTGTGACTATGAGGTAGAAGCAGGCAAAGGCAAGTCTATTCCATGTCCAGTTCTCAAACAAGACAGAGACCAGGACACTCAGCAAGCACAAAAAATTAGCATGATTAACTGCTGCATCTTTATAATGGCAAATCTAATTATGCTTTAATGCTTTTGCTTTCTAGGTAAAACTTACCAACATACACATGCTTGATTAGCCCCCAATACTGACAGCACTCAATCCAGAATCCTCTTTAAAATATTCAGGACAAACCCAAATCTGTAACAAGGCTCTTCAAACTCTTTCTTACCAGGACCTAGAAATTCATCTGGTACGCATCTTCTCTGCCATAGCAAACTAAAATATCTGATTTTACTTGACTGTTGGTGGGTTTTTAGTGATTAGTCTCTGGCAGGTGACCTTTAATAAACGTTATGATTAATTATTTTCTTTTATTAATATTGAAAACTACAGTTAAATTAGTAATTAAATATTATTTTTAAATCTTTCTTCACTTTATATATAAGTGAAAAAAAGTTTAAGTCAAATGCTGATAATCTGGGTCCTCTTGACATATCAAATTATACAATTTCCTACATTTTGAAAAACATGTTGATAAAAAATAGGAAAGGGAAGGTGCTATAGGCTGAATGTCTGTGTCCCTCTAAAATTCATACATTGAAACCTAATTCCCAATGTGATATATTTACAGATGGGGCTACTGAAAAGTTATGACTAGGATTAGGTCTCTTACAAAAGAGCCGCAGAGTTCCTTAGCCCCTTCTGCCATGTGCAGACACAGAGAGGAGATAGCCATCTATGAACCAGGATGAAACCCTTTACCTGCTCCTTGATCTTGATCTTCCAGCTTCCAGAACAGTGAGAAATAAACTTCTTTGGTTTATAAGCCACCCAGGATATGGGTATATTTGTTATAGCAGCTTGAACTAACTAAGGCAAGTGGAACTCATTGAAAGTTTTTAAATGTCATAAACTAATTGTCTAGTATGATCCTTGTATAAATGAATTATCTAATTTAAAAATGAAAGCTCAGTTTTAGTAATTATCCCAAGGTGTCACTACAAATAAATGTTGAAATTTGAAGACAACCTCAGTTTGGGCTCTAAAATATGCTTGCTGTGGAATTTGTTTCAATGAGAATAAGAGGAAAATTAATGAAAATAACTTAACATAATTGAAAGTATTTAAAATAGTATAATAATAATTTCAATTACTATTAAACTAAGAATAATTAAAACACAGTGAGCAATAATTAAAAATCATAATCAGATTGACATTTCTCTATCAAAAAGTAAAAAAAAAAAAAAAAAAGTCTGGTCCTCCTGGTATCTCTGATCTTCTCTCATAAATACCCTCCAGTTAATATCCTCTACTCTGGTCTACTAATATTTGTTATTTAAATATATGTATAATATAAATATAATATATATTTATAATAATATAACATATAATGATATAATTTAATATATGTAATAAAATAAATATTTACATATAAACACATTATATGTTATATTCTAACACACACATACTTTCTTTGAACTCCATTCCTATCTCCTAAATCATACTCCTTATTACCTCTGCTTTATTTTTTTCCCATAGCATTTAATGCCCAACATGCTATAAGTTGTTTTTACTTATTTTGCTTTTCTGTCATTCCTACCTAGAATGGATGCCATGAGAAAACTGGAGTTTGTTATTGGTGGTGGTGGTGTGGTAATTTTGACACATGAAGACAATCTTAATTTGTTTTTTAATGTTATTTTTTTGGTCATGTATGTAACCCCAGTGCCTAAAATGATGCCTGTATCATAGTAGGCACTCAATAAGTTCTTACTGAATAAATAAACAAAAACAAAATAAAGTGAGGATTTTAAAAGACTAGTGCTTAGATTTAACCTTTTAGGGTTTAATGTAATTTTATATCACACACAAATTCAAACTATAACTTTATTACAGATAGAAACTTTCCAATATTTAAAAAAATGAAGTAATAGAATTCAGAAATGCAATCCTGTGGGCTTTACTTTTTTTAGCTTTATCTTATATATTCAGTTGATTCATTTTCATGTGAATAAATATTTCTAGATCACCTGTTATAGCCCAGGGCCTTGCTAACTAATAAAAACATCATTATTTCTACCATTTGTTAGTTGTGTAAACTTGACCAAATGACTCAACCACTATAACCTTCAGTGTCATTGTCCATAAACTGTGACGAAAGAGGGTAACTACTCATCAGATTTTTATGCTGATGCCCTAACATGAGGCATGAGATGAAATAATGCCAGTGAAGCATTTAGGACTGCCACTGACCCACTGGAGTCAGCCAATTAATGTTGTTCCTATCACTTGTCAGTAATGATGAAGTTGATGAAGAAAACATAATTGATATGCCCATGTATTTATAAAGACTTAAAATATCTCATATAGAAGGTAAAAATTGTCTCATTTTAAAAGCACAGAGAGGACAATACATTTATGTATAACAAAGTCACTTTCATACAATAAGGTCCACCCTCACTGACTCTGCCAAAATAACAACTTTTCCTACTCTACCCATAGGCATACACATGCATCAAGTCACCATGTGGAACATAATTAGAAGTTCTAAACTTTAATAAGGATATTTCTTTTATTTCTCTTCCTTGTCAAGAATGATATTCAGGGGGTGCCCAGGTGGCTCAGTCATTAAGTGTCTGCCTTTGGCTCTGGTCCTGATCCCAGAGTCCTAGTAATGAGCCCCACATCGGGCTCTCTGCTCAGCAGGAAGCCTGCTTCTCCCTCTCCCACTCCCCTTGCTTGTGTTCCCTATCTCACTGTGTCTTTCTCTGTCAAATAATAAATAAAATCTTTTTTTAATTTTTTTTTTTTAAAGAATGATATTAAAGCAAGAACTACCTTCCTCTGAATGTGATTAATACCAATGAAAGTAGTTGTACTTCACTTTGCTGAAGATTTTGCTGTACACATCTGGTAATTCAGGATATTTTGAAATGATTGTAAATGTAGATGAAAAGATTTGCTTCTGCTGAGATAAATGAGAAGGGAGTAGCTTTTACTTACAATGTATTTCTAGCACCTGCATGGCCACCTGAGGGGTGGCATTGAGGGACTCATGGTCTACTCTGCAGATCACAGCCACGCCATCATCGCTCCGGTCCACTCGGAAATCCAGTGTGCTGCTGACAGTGAATGTCTTGCGATTTGCATCCTCTTCTTTTAAATATTTTACATCTAAAAATAAAATGTACATTTAAAAATTTTGTGACATTATCTTTCAAAATGTAACAGATTTCATTTACTCAAGTCAAAACTAGAAGCACCATCTCCATCTTTTTTTCAATTTTTAAAAAGCAAATATTTGTTAATTTAACATTTAATTCTTTTTGGTTTGAGCAAATAAAAATACAACTACTTCAGAAATAAAATTTAAAAGTAACTGTATAAATAAAATAGAAGGGTGGGACATAAGACTATATTCCTATTGTGACTGTATTTTTGTTTTGTTTTGTTTTGTTTTAATACTTCATTTGAGAAACCAGGTCATTTTAGAATATTAATCTCCTTTCTTTAGATTTAAATTTACATGAGGATAATCTTAATTCTCTGAGCCTCAAATACAGTTGGGAAGGTGAAATTCACAACATCTGATTATGCCCAAAAGAAAGTACAATGTATTTGAGCTATGATTTCAACATGAACAATGTGAGATGAACTTATTTGCTAAAGAATACCTACAATGAAAAAGTTGTCATCTTTTATAAAGAAAGGGAAGAGGACATGGATGCAAAAATTCTCAACAAAATCCTAGCAAATTGAATCCAACAGTACATTAAAAGAATCATTCACCATAATCAAATAGGATTTATTAATAGGCTGCAAGGATGGTTCAATATTCACGAATCAACTAATGTGATACACCACATTAATAAAAGGAAGAATAAGAATCAGATGACTCTTAGCAATAGATGCAGAAAAAAGCATTTGACAAAGTACAGCATCCATTCTTGATAAATCCCTCAACAAAGTAGGGATAGAGGAACATACTTCAACATCATAAAGGCCATATCCAAAAGACAAGCAATGAATATAATCCTCAATGGGGAAAACAAAGCTTATCCTTTATGACAAGATCAAGATAGGGACATCCACCCTCACCACTGTTACTTAACATATTACTAGAAGTCCTAGCTTCAGCAATGAAACAACACAAAGAAATAAAAGACATACAAATTGGCAAGGAAGAAGTCCAACTTTCACTATTCCCAGGTGACTTGATACTCTATGTAGAAAACCTGAAAGACTCCACCAAAAAATTGCTAGAACTGATACATGAATTCAGTAATAGCACAGGATACAAAATCAATATACAGAAATCTGTGGCATTTCTAGATACTGATAAGGAAGCAGCAGAAAGAGAAATCAAGGAAACAATCCCGCTTATAATTACACCAAAAACCATAAGATACCTAGGAATAAACCAAAGAGGTAAAAAAACGGTACTCTGAAAACTATATAACACTTATGAAAGAAATCGAAGAAGACACAAAGAAATGGAAAAACATTCCATGCTCATGGACTGGAAGAGTAAATATTGTTAAAAGCAATCTGCATATATAATTTAACCTTATAAAAATACAAATAGTGTCTTTCACGGAGATAGAACAAACAATCTTAAAATTTGTATGGAACCACAAAAGACCCTGAATAGCAAATGCAGTCTTGAAAAAGAAAAGCAAAGCTGGAGGTATCAAAATTCTGGACCTCAAGCTATATTACAAACTGCATTCATCAAGACTGGTATGTCTTGATGAAGTATGGTACTTGAGCAAGTATGGTACTGGCACAAAAACAGATACATTGATCAATAGAACAGGATAGAAAACCCAGAAATGGATCCACAACTCTATGGTCAACTAATCTTTGACAAAGAAGGAAAGAATATCCAATGAAAAAATAAGACAGTCTCTTCAACAAATGATGTTGGGAAAACTGGACTGTGCAACATGCAGAAGAATGAAACTGTACCACTTTCTTAAACCATATACAAAAATAAATTCAAAATCAATGGAAGACCTAAATGTGAGACAGTAAACTGTCAAAATCTGAGAGAAGAACACAGGCAGTAACTTTTTTGACCTTGGCTGTACCAACTTATAATTAGACATGTTGCCAGAGACAAGGGAAACAAAAGCAAAAATGAACTATTGGGACCTCATCAAGATAAAAAGCTTCTGCACAGTAAAGGAACAATCAACAAAATTAAAATGCAGTCTACAGAATAAGAGATGATATTTGCAAATGACATAGCTGATAAAGGATTAGTACGCAAAATGTATAAAGAACATATCAAACTCAACACCCAAAAAGCAAATAATCCACTTAAGAAATGGGTAGAAGACATGAATAGATACTTTTCCAAAGAGGATATCCAGATGGCTAACAGACACATGAAAAGATGTTCAACATCACTCACCATCAGTGAAATACAAATCAAAACTACAATGAGATATACCACTTCACACCTGTCAGAATGGCTAAAATTAAGAATACAGGAAACTATAGATGTTGGCAAGGATGTGGAGAAAGTAGAACCCTCTTACACTGTTGGTGGGAATACAAACTGATGCAGCCACTCTGGAAAATAGTAAGGAGGTTCCTCAAACAGTTAAAAATAGAACATTCCTGTGATCCAGCAATTACACTACTGGTTATTTACCCAAAGGATACAAAAATTCTGATTCAAATGGACACATGCACCCCGATATTTATAGCAGCTCTATCAATAATAGCCAAGTTACAGAAAATAGCCCAAATATCCATCACTGATGAATGGATAAAGAAAATGTGAAATATTACCTAGTCATCAGAAATAATGAAATCTTTCCATTTGCAATGATGGGGATGGACCTAGAGTGTATTATGCTAAAAGAAATGTTAGAGAAAGACAAATACCATATGATTTCACTCATATGTGGAATTAAAGAAACAAAACACATGAACATGGGGGAAAAAGGAGACAGGCAAACCATAAAACAGACTGAGAACAAACAGGGTTACTGGAGGGGAGGTAGACAGGGGAATGAGTGAAATAAGTGATGGATATTAAGGAGGGTAGCTGTTGTAATGAACATTTGGTATTTTATGTTAGCAATGATTCACTAAATTCAACTTCTGAAACTAATATTACACTGTATGTTAACTAATTGGAATTTAAATAAAAACCTGAAACAACAACAAAAAAGATTTTGCTTGAAAAAAAATTTTTAATTGAAAAAAAATCATCTGAATAATTTGAATACTTAAAAATATATAGTTGCAGTGAAATTTACACTGAGATAAATGCTCTTTACTTGGGTGAAGGATTTATTTTAGCATGAATGAAATCTTGAGGAATACTTTTATCAAGATATATATTCATTTATTGATATTTTGTGCATGATTAAGATTCATTGCTAATTGGTACACTCAGGGATTATTTGATCTTTATGGAAAAGAGGTTTATAATATTTTTATTTAATTTAAAAGTTCTTAAGTCCAAAGTACTTGATAAGAAGGCGTAATTTCAATGGGTTAGAAATCAAAGTGATAGGCTATAGATAAGATATAACAAGATCTTAAATGTAGTTAAGGGAGAAAGCTGTTCCATTTTCTTACTCTTTCATTTCCAATGAAAAATGATAATTTCAGGTGAAGAGTTATGTTGAATAAAGTGCATAAAATATTTTATTTTATTATGTATTACTTTATTTTTTAAAACATTTAAGGACATATTAATTATAACAAAGTAATTTAAATTCAGTTTCTCCATTGTTATGCACTATACAAAGATTTGACTTTAAACGTAATATTGAATTTGAGGTATTTGGTAGGTAGATATTTGCGTGGTTCATTGAGTTTTACTTATTTCCAGAGAAGTCTGACTTTATCTTATTGTTTGATTTTTTTAAAAAATGGAGTAAGTATTAGTAAAGGATAAAACTAGGTAAATGTTCCATGTCTTGTTCTTGAAAATATATGATTGTGTTCACAAATTAAGAAAAAAATACCTAATAAAGACTTTACCATTACAAATTTTTTATGTAATTTAGACAGTTTTGAGAATAAGAAAAAAATTCTAACATTTGAAAGGAGAAAAACTCTAACATTTGAAAAGTAGGAGAACACAAAAGGCTTGATTCTATCTTTTTAACAATAAATCAATCATACAGGATACAAGATTTTTCATAAATATGTTTCATGAACATATTTTTCATGTTTATGAAAATATGAACATGAACATATTCATGTTTTTTTTGCTAACCAAAGTCATTTCTAAGATTTTTGCATTTGAAAATTAGTTTCAATCTCAGTTAAAAAAATTAGAGTAAAAGATGAAATTATTTCCTTTCAGTCAAAATATGTCATGATAATACAGATGCATTTAGAGCCCTTTGTTATATTAAATATATATCTGTGTGTGTGTGTGTGTGTGTGTGTGTGTGAGAGAGAGAGAGAGAGAGATCTTTTACTTTTCAGTGTTTTATAGATTTATACAAAGTGTTGTCTCATTTTTATATTTTATATTCTTTCCTTTAAATCCATGTCCAGCATTTTCTGGTTTGTAGCTCTAAGCAGTAGCAGTATAAGAAAATTTAGATCTCTTAACAAACCACTTTTATAATTATGTTATATATTATATGAAAAATATCTAAAATATTCCTAATTGTTTAATTTTAATCACAGCTGTATTTTAAAAACCCACACATCTGCTTCCTTTACCTGATTCCTTTACAAAAATATCACTAAAGGGGCGCCTAGGTGGCTCAGTGGGTTAAAGCCTCTGCCTTCAGCTCAGGTCATGATCCCAGGATCCCAGGATCCTGGGATCAAGCCCCACATCAGGCTCTCTGCTCAGCCAGGAGCCTGCTTCCTTTCCTCTCTCTCTGCCTGACTCTCTGCCTACTTGTGATCTCCGTATCTCAAATAAATAGATAAAATCTTTTAAAAAATCACTTAATATAATATTAATTGGACACATAAAATCTGATAGCAATTGTGTATAACATAAAATTTTAACGAACATCATTCAAATAGAATAAAGTATAATTTGTTATTTTTAATATTAGCCTATGGCACAGCCTATAGTGTTCCTAGAAGCTATAAGATGAATAAAAAAAAAATCAAGAAGAGCCAATCATATTATCTTTTCCTATATTTTATAGGATCTTCTTATCCCCACTCCCCAAAAATAC